TTAAAGTCACTAACTCGCTCAAACATTATTTAAGGTATAACTAAGTTATCTCATTCCTATTCTTGAGGGTAAAGTCTCTAATATATCTCCCAAATAGATCTCTAAACCTAGTGCTCTGATACCAACTGTGATGCCTCCACTTCTCCCAAGAGCGAACCCAAGGGTATCCATGGAATGCATGTCCAAATCTCACCAGGACTCGATATAAGACGAATTCAACTTATGGATAATCAATCAATACTAAAAGTCAAAAATATAAAGAAAAGGTCGTTTCCTTAAAATATTCAAATCTTACATTACAATTTACCAAAAGTATATCAACATTCCCAAAATATACAACCTCCAAAAGTTGTCTAACCAATTCCATTTCAAATTCTAATCAAAAGATCATTAAATTGGCTTCTCCATAATTCTTTCTATTTCAGCTCCTGTTAAGCAAAACCAAACTAATGAGATGAGTTACTAATTAGTGAGGCCAAGAAAAGCATGCAAACACATAGTTCAAGTAGCAATAGCACTTATGCGAGAAATAAAACTATAACATTCAAGTAATTCACAATTTAACATCAAACACACTCAATAAGAATACGGGAGCTCTCAGGAGCTAAATTCCACTTGCTTTGTCGAGTCTCAATCAAATACCTCCACGTGATGACACTTCGTCAACCGGGTAGGTATATTTAGTTCGAAGACACCACTTACTTCACGAATCCCGTTCACCGTTACACCCTCTGTTCCGAGCCCGCTCATCATATAGAAAGGCGATACTACTCGCGTATGCCAAGCGAGATCTCTCAAATAGATCAAGATTTATGAATTTTCCATGGTTCACCAAACTTCTCGACCAAACCCATGCCGGCTCGAGTCACAAAGTTAGCTTATGAGTTTGGGCGTCCCCCGATTATACATATAAGTTGATGAGACAACACTCCAATCGACGATCACAAATACGATTCACAATAGCATCACTTCACACAAATCGATTATCAATTCACATAGCGAGATTCGATCATAATTTCATTTAAAAGAGAACAAGTGCGATAAAGTACACACTCGTCTCGACAATTCTAATTCATATAATTGACAAGAAGCAATTCATGTACTCAATAACAAATCATGCACTTGACACTCACCAAGTCAAAAAAGTGAGTAAGTGAGCAAATAAAGTTTTAGACGTCCGCTCCGAAATTCTCTTGAAGATCCTTTTAAGCACCTGAAGAAATAATAATTGATTATCACTCACAAATACTTACAAATCCCTTGCCAACAAAGAAGAATGTACACTTGTGCAATACTAAGACAATGTCATGAAAGAGAACTTTAAATCTCTCGAAAATCAAGGTCCAAAAGTGAGGATTTAAAGTCCAAGAGGGACTTGCCTCTTCATGATATCGAGTTTAAAAAGGTCTATCGATATCGAGAGAGAGTAACAAGTTCTCAAAAACTCATTTCTTAAGAATTCAGAAAATTTCCGTTTTGCACGACAATCTTGGGAAAATCAGATCTTGAGTTTGGCATGTCCAAAAATGGAAAATTTTATACCTTCGGAAACTAGGTTCGAAGTACTAAAAGTTCTTAGAAAACACTTTTTCATGGTTCCAAACAAAAAGCATTCATTTTTCATCTCAAAATTTCAGTTCCAAGAAGACAGGTTTGAACCAGTCTTGGTTTTCTAGCAATCTTTGGAAATTCGACATAATTTATAGAAAGTGAATCAGCCCTTGAAATTCGTCAATAAGAGTTCCAAACAAGGTTTCAAACACAATAAATGGAACTAAATTCAGAGTTTTGAGCATCAAGATATAACAGTTTAAAGTCAGCTGAATCTTGCAAACTAATCAGTAAATTTCCAGATTTGAAGAGCAATCTTTGTGGCATCATTTGGATGTCGAAAAGATATTGAAATTACACAAAATTTGGTACACATAAACTTCCATATATGGACTACTTCTATACCAAAATTTAGGCAAAAACTTGCACGGGAAGGCAGTTACCAAAACGACCAAAATTTATGAAATTTTCAAAGTAAATCTGCCAACCCACTCTTTCTTTCTTTCCAAAGGTTTTGTCCAATGAAATCAACCTCAATTCACTCCATTTTTGAAACCAAGGTTCCAGAAACATTTAATAAGCAATTGATGGTTAAATGACACTAAAATATTTGAAATATAACCTCCCCAAATAGGTTTGACCATTCGGTCAGCAAGAAAGAATAAAGCTTCTAGTTTCCAGCTTTGCCGCATTTTCAACATCAAGCCATATCTAACTCTATACAAACTCAAATTGAGAGTGGTTGGTGGCATTGGAAACTAGGTTCTAAAGGCTACAATTTATCAGAAGAAATCACTTTGAAAATTGATAAGTGAATATTTAATGTGTATTTTGTACAATTTTGGCATGAATTTTTGGTATGTTTTGACAAGATTAAAGCCATTTTTGAACTCTATTGATTATAATTGTTTAAATATTGTTTAAGTGTTCAAAACTTGATAAATGAGTGGATTAATGCATTAATTTTGTGAAATTGTGAAAGATATCGATGTATGAAATTCATGCACGAGTTGAAAGAAGTGTAAGGATTGTTCAGAGGATAAAGTACACAAGAAATTAGGAGCAAAAATGAAGAAAAAGGAAAAGAAGTGAAAAATTGGAATATACCAGCATGGATCCGAACTCGGATCCGTGAGAATAAGGGGCGATCCGAGCCCTCGTCTGTCCTTCTGGAGCAGTGTATCCGAGTACAAACGATCCAAGCTCGGATCCATCAGAGAAAGGCCTCGGATCCATATTCAACCCTCGGATCCGAGACTCGGATCTGTCTCTCTCTTCAGCAAGTGGCACAACCGTTTTCCTTTACCTTTCTCACAACTTTTTCAGCTATTTTGAGGGACAGAAATTGGTAGCACATGCTTCTGCAACAAAAGAGAAGACCAAATGAGTTGTAGACAAAAGGAAACATCATATCTTTGACTTTTTTTTACAAAATCTGAGTGGAGGAAATTATGAAGTGAAAGAATTAGACTTTCTACCACTTTTTATGCAGAAACACAGGGAAGAAGCCAGGGGCATCTACGTAGCTAGTTTTTCCTCTTGTAACTAGTTTCTCTCTAGTTAAGAGTTTTTAGAGAAGCATTTGGAGTTTTCACTTGTAATCATCTTGTACAAGAATATAGCAGAAATTGGAAGGTTTCACCATCAATTGGCTAAACTTTCTTTTATCTTTCTTGAACTTGTACCTTATGATGTTTTGCGTTAATAAACTTGTGAATTTGATTTTTATCTCATTCATGAGTAGCTAATTTTCTTTATCTAGGGAGTAGATGAAACTTATGGATAAATAATATGAATTGAATGTGATTTACACTTGTTATATCTTGTATTAACTTGTCTACTTGTGTAGTTGTGATTACTTGTTATGATTGATCACCAATAGCATGTTTATAGTTGTTATTGTTCAATGGTAGCAATGGAAAAACATGAGTAGAGCTTAAGTTGTATGTTCATGAAAATAGAGATACACTTAAGGGGATTACTTAGCATTTCATGAAAGAAAACTGAGGGGTATTAGTATTTCACCATGAAAATAGGGAAAACTAAACTACTCTAGGCCATTTCATCATGAGAACGAGACTTGGTAATTTTGGAAATGAATCTCTGGTTAAACAAGAATAATAACAAGAGGTAAATACATTTATTTGTGTTGTTTATGCCATAAGTGGAATCTACATCTCTAGATTCAATTTTTAGTGAAATTTCTCCATTACATTTAGTATTGATTAAAGCAGATTTGTAGACAATAGATTTATAATTTTCTTGCTCAGATTTATTATAAGTTTAAATAATAGAGAAAAATAAGGGTCTAGTACTTGTTTAATTTGCTCCTCGTGGGATCGAACCGATACATATCCTACATTACAATTTCGGCCTATATACTTGTAGTCAATGGGTATAAAATCGGATTTTAAGTTGCATTGATATAAAAATCCTGTCAAGTTTTTGGCGCCGTTGTCAGGGAGCGACAATATTAGAGCCTAATCATTTTTATTAATTTAGACAGTTTTATTTTTATTAGTTGAGCTAATTATATTTAATCCTACATTGTAATCAAATTTTGACAATTGAAGTTGCATAATATATATTATTTCTATTTGTAGTGTATGCACCGGGCGTTTCGAGAAATTGCACTTTTCGATCCAAAAATTAAGAGAACACTACATAGACAAAGGAGGAACACACCACAGCAAGAGGAACAAGAGATTTGGCAACCAATAGAGGAAATCTTAATAGAGCTTCCATTTGAAGAAGAAATGGCAGAAAACGAAGCAAATAGGCGAGTTCTACGAGATTTTGCTCTACCAAGAACACAAGAATCTCAAACGAGCATAGCAAGGCCTTCGGTAAATGATAACAATTTTGAGATTAAACCATCACTTATTCAAATTGTTCAACAATCTCAATTTGGAGGTAATGCAGTAGAAGATCCTAATTCATACTTAGCTACATTTTTGGAAATTTGTGATACAATTAAAATGAATGGAGTTAGTGATGATGCTATAAGGCTAAGATTGTTCCCATTTTCATTGAGAGATAAGACCAAACTTTGGCTACACTCTTATGCTCCTAATACTTTCACTGGATAGGATGATTTATCAAGAGCATTCTTGAATAAGTATTTTCCACCAGGTAAGACTGCTAAGTTAAGAATGGATATCACTAGTTTTAGCCAATTGGAAGGTGAATCATTATATGAGGCATGGGAAAGGTTCAGAGATTTGCTTCGAAAATGTCCACATCATGGACTACCGGAGTGGTTAATCATACAAACCTTCTATAATGGTTTAGTTTTTTCAACTAAAACTATGATCGATGCAGCTGCAGGTGGAGCTTTAATGAGAAAATTACCCCAAGAAGCTCAGAATTTGATAGAAGAAATGGCCGCAAATAACTACCAATAGGCCAATGAGAGAGGTAATACAAGACGTCACGTAGGTATGATAGAAATGGACACTCTCAATATGCTGAGTGCTCAAATGAATAATGTGATGAAGTTGCTAAGTAGACAAGGTGGAGTTGGTCCAAGTTCATCTAATGCACATGTAGCGTGTTGTTCTATATGTGGATGTGAACATGATACTAATGAGTGTGTTGATTCTGAGCAGGTATAATTCGTCAATAATTACAATCGTAATGCTCAAAATAACCCCTACTCGAATACTTACAATCCGGGGTGGAGAAATCATCCAAACTTTGGATGGAAGGATCAAGGAAATCAACCAAGGCCAGCCAATCCACCGGGATTTCAATCAAGGCAACAACAAGCTGAAACCAAACCTGGTTGGGAGATTGCTGTGGAAAAGCTTGCTAAGGTTACTTCAGATAGATTCGAGCGAGTTGAGGGGCGGTTGGACCAATTGGCTTGGATGTATAGAAATTTGGAGGTTCAAATTGGTCAAATTGCCAATGTGATCAACAATAGAAACCCTGGTGAATTGCCGAGTAAAACCGAAGTGAATCCGAGAGAGCAAGTCAATGCTATCACTCTTAGAAGTGATAAAATGGTTGAGGGACCTAACTCTAGTAATTCAAGTGGTGAAAAAGATAAGGAGCAAGCATATAGAGGAGTAAAACCAAGCCAAAATGATAATGTAGTCATTAATATTGATGAACCTCCTCCTCAATTAAATTCTAATGTGATTCCTTTTCCTCACAGGTTGAAAAAAGATGGACAGGATCGGGAGTTTGAAAAGTTCTTCAAAATGTTTAAACAATTGCACATTAACATTCCTTTCATTGATGCTATAACACAGATTCCCTCTTATGCGCGTTTCTTGAAAGATATCATGTCAAGAAAGAGGAAAATTGTAGATAATGAGATGATAACATTAACGGAAGAGTGTAGTGCATTAATTAAGAACAAACTCCCTCCTAAATTAAAAGATCCGAGAAGTTTTTCTATTCCTTGCACTATTGGTCAATTGCATTTTTCTAATGCTTTATGTGATTTAGGTGCAAGTGTGTCACTTATGCCATTATTGGTTGCCCAGAGGTTGGGACTTCAAGAGTTGAAAGCTACCAATATCACATTGCAGTTGGCGGATCGGTCAATCGCACATTCAATTGGTATTTTGGAAAATATGCTCATAAGGGTAAGACAATCTATAATACCTATGGATTTTGTTGTCTTAGATATTGAGGAAGATTTGAGAATGCCAATTATTCTAGGACGACCGTTTTTAGCCACCGCACGAACTATAATTGATGTGGAAAAAGGTAAGCTTATATTACGGGTTAATGGTGAGAAACTGGAATTCAATTTGGATAGTAAAGAAAGCAGTATAGAGCCTACTGCTCTTGTTTCTAATATGCCATGTGATGAAAAGATTAACTAAGAAAGGAACGAAGAAGTTAAATATATAAAAGTCCTTGGTACTAACTTTCATGGTGTAGGAACAAGGGAGGAAAAGATAAGGATGGAAGTTGGCTTAATAAATTCGCCATTCCATGAAGAAAATGGAGAAAAGATGAGCCAACTCGAAAAAGACAAGCAAATTCCACTCCAAGGTGAAGTCGAGCCTTTATATGATAAGTCTAATACTCCTCCTTGGCATTTGAGGAAATTGGACTATGAAAATCGATACATGGCTCACCACATGGTAGATTGGCTTGGGAGTTTCGACCCATGGGGAGAAAATCGCTCCCTAATGTTCTAAAATGACACAACTTTTGAGTCGAGCTCAACGACTCTAAACAAAGCGCTTGTTGGGAGGCAACCCAATAATAATATTGTAGTTGTGTTTTTATGTGTTTCTTACATTTTGGTGTGATTTAATTGACTAATTAGATATATTTCACTTGTTTGCAGGAGGTATCGGAGTTTCATCATTATTTTGAAGGTACAATTGAAGAACAAATGTAAAAAAGGAGGTTTTCTTACCAAATTGTGCTTTAAGTGTTTAGAATTCCCAAGCATACATACAATGTTGCATTTTCAGTATATTCAAGTGACTTTTGGTGATAACATGTTTATAAATGCTCATGGACTCATTTGATGTGCATTTAATGTCCAAAAGTGCCATTTTAGTGTAAAAATGCAAAAATGATCAAAGAACCTCACCCCTCGATTTGCAATGTAGATGTGTTTGATGTTTTTTGAAAGGTTGGATATTGTATTTATGGTATATTACATATGCGTGGGGGGTTAGAATTGATAAAAAGTTTGTCCAAAGCGTATTTTGGAATTGGCCGGAAAAGGAAGAAAAATTTTGAAAAATTGCAGGTTCTGCAATTAAGTGCAGAAAAACAGATCTGAGTTCGGATCCATTTCAACCCAGAAGGATTCGACCTCGGATCCATAAGATACGAGCTCGGATCCAACTCAGCCCAGATGGATCCGAGGGCTCGTTTGTGTTTCTGGTGAGACGAATCCGAGCCTTGTCGGATCCGAGAACTTCCAGAACAGATCCGACCTCGGATCGGTTGGCGATAAGAAAGGAAACGAGACCTCAGTTCCTCATTTTCCAGCTCTTCTCTCTTTCTCTCTCACCGAAACCCTAACCCTCCTTCACCAATCTTCCATTTTGCCCATTAATCCTCTGATCTTTCACCACAAAAACATCCCAAATACTCTTGTGAACATTAACCCTCAACAATTTCGAATCAAAAACATCAATCCAAGGGAATTTAATCATCATAAAAGAATTCGGGCCGCACTTCAATTTTTCAAATTTGGGGGTGAATTTGGACTTGTTTCTTCCTCATTATCATTCTCTAGTATCTTCCTATACATTTGAGGTATCAATTTACAATTTTCTTTAAGATTCCATAATTTCTAATTTTACATTTTTCTAGTTTTTGGGCATATTGAGATAAATGCATATTTGTTGGAATTTGTTGTTGTAAATGTGCTATATTGTACTAGAATATGTTGTTACTACTATTTTTATGCTTAGTATGGAAAAAGTTGTGGATTTGGTGATATTTTTGGTAATTTTTTTTAATTTATTAGGCTTGAGTAATTTGGTTCTTTAGGCTTGTGAATGTTGGTTTCCATTGAATATATAAACTTGTTTTGAGGAGTATAAGTCACTATTGTACCAATTGAAAATGATATGCGATTAATAGAACCAATTCCATTGGGTAAAAGAGTGTGTTTATGATTAAATTATGCATATTCAATCTTTTTACTTGAAATCTCTTATCTCTTTGAGTTCAATTGCAATTGTTTTGGTAAATTTGGAGCTCATTCGTATGCACTTTATTAAGAATGGGTATACCCAATTGTGGTGTGATTCGTGGAGAAACTTATGAATATATTGGCATGTACATTCTTGAAATAATGGTTGAGGTTCAAATGATCGAACTCTTTGATGAGATTCTACCTGAAAATATGCATTTGAGTTTGAAATGAGTTAAGTAGGATCTTTGGTTGTTTTTTGGTACATGTTGACAGGGAGTTTAGCCCTTTTATAAGGGGAAACTCTGCTGAAATTTTCTTAAATTCTATGTGAGCAAGTTTATTTTGTTTTCATGAACGTTCATCTTGTTTTTATATAGGTACTATGGCTTGCACAAGGAGGGCTTGTATTCGTACTCCTACACCATCTTCAAGCGAGGAACGTACTCCCTCACATGAAGAGTCGCCTGAGGAAGAATCTCCTTCGCCTGAGCCACCACCTCGGTCTCGCCGGAAGACCGTATCCACTAGCTGCGACGAGCCGTTTCCAGATTATGACACTATTAGATTCACGTCACTCGAGAATCAACAGTGGTACGAAGCAGGCTTAGATAAGGAAATTATCATTGAAAAGCACCTGGCACCGGAGGTGGATGTGCACTACCACATCTCTACGGCATTCAAGAGACTCGGATGGGAGAACATCCTTCAATTGCCCAAGCACTACTACCCCAATCTAGTCCGAAAATTCTATGCCAATGTGGAAAATAAACAGAGTCACAGTGGCAACCTCATCGTCTCCTGGGTTCGAGAAAAGAGAGTGGCTCTTAATCAGGATACAGTGGCAAAAATTGTCAAACTCAAAGATGAAGGAGTTGATGTTAAACTGACCAAGGAGTTCAAGGCACGCGACCCTTGGCAAGTGGGAGAAGCAGTAGCACGCCTAAAGGGTCAATATAGGAAGCGAGAAAGTTCGAAGAAGCTCACTGTATATGCTGACTCCTTCGAGCATAGGTACCACTTGATTTTCTATCTCTTCGCCTTCAATGTGGTGCCCAAAAGGAGTGGAAAGCGGGAGCTCCACAATAGTGACCTCTACTTCTTGGATAAGATGATACATGGTATGGGTGAGCAGTTGACTGGTATTCCTTTGCCCAGCATCATCATCAGTTACATGTGGACCACAGCTCACATGAGGGCCGGCGAGACTTGCTTTGGATTCCCTCGGTTGCTATCCCTCATTTTTGAGAAACTCAAGGTTCCTCTTGGAACCGAGCGAGCCATTAACACTAAGTCCGCCGACGAGGTCAGTGCCTCGATACTCAAATCCTTGAGTATCTCTACAGATTTTGGAGCTGTTCTGGTTCGAGAAACTGGAGAAGCTTCAACCTCAGCTCAGCTTCCACCTCACACTCAACAGGAACCAGTAGTTCATGAGACGGAGGCACAACAAACTCTTCCTCCTCCCGTTTCGCGACCACCTCCTCCACCGCGCTCCAAGTGGCAAGAGCTCCTCAATGCCATTTGCTGTATAGAGACACGAGTCGTCGAGCGCATTGACCAGACGGAGCGGATGATAACAGAGCGACTCGACAGACATGCTCACCGTCTTCGTGCGATCGAGGATCATTTCTATATCCGTCAGTCACCTACCCCAACACCTCGGCATGAGGAAGAGCATATTGGTACCTCACATGGTCCTCATGGAGTCGAGGAGGCCGTAGACCCTCGTTCCGAGCAGCCATGAAGCTCCTTAGCGGATTGGATCTTTTATTTCTTTATTTGTCTTTTCTTCTGTTAAGATATACTTTATAGATTTTATTTTATTTTTGGCCCATCTTGTACTACTTATGTTTCTTCGTACCTTTTATTTCACTGTGGCCAGAATTGGGATGATCGTGAGGATTAAGAGCTTCAAATTGCATCACCACCTATTTGAGGGAAGTTTCAATTTCTTTTACCTTCCTCTACAATGAGGACATTGTTAAATTTAAGTGTGGAGGAGGGATTACTTTATCTTATGGATAGTTGTGTTTTGAAATGCATGATTTGAGTTGTCTATGGCTTAAAAAATATTGTCTTGAGGATAATTTTCTTGAAATTGAGGTTGTTGGCAGGGAGTTTTGTCCATTTTTATGGAAAAACTCTGTCAAAATTTTTCTAAAATATTTTCCAATATTTCAAATTAATGGCCAAAATGTTCAATTTTAAGTGCCTAATTCTTTCATTGGATAAAATATTATATGTATTTTGGAAAAGTTTAGTCCTTATTTGACTTGGAATTAGTCATTATGCAATTAGGATTTTTATATTTTAGAAAGTATATTTGATTAAATAAGAAAAATTATGCTTAGAATTTTGCACGTTTAATGATATTTCTCATTTTTACTTAATTTTATAAGTAAGTGATTGTTATAGTCAAGACAAGGCCAGATTCTTCCTTGAATTATGAAAATAAAAATAAAAATAAAAATTTATTATTAAAAAAATGAACAAGAGAAAAAATATATATATATTGATATTATTTTCTACTCCAATGATTCACATACTGAGTAACCGGGGGTTGGCATTTACAAATGTCGACATTCGCATAAAAAGGTAGTGGAATTAAGAGTATGCTTAGCAATTTGAATAAGTGAAATGTTGAGTAACCGGGAATGTTCACCTAAAAGTGTCGATTTTCGCGTAAAAAGACATTTCTACTATTTAAGTAAAATGAAGTATGAATAAATCCCTCTTAGTTATGAAAATTTTGATGGTTATGGGATGAGGAAGGCCATAGAATTGACTATGAGATTTACTTATTTGTGAAATTAGGATAGAATGAGAGATTGATTTGAAGTTGTTAAAATTAAGGCATAATTATCTTTCTTTAATTTGATATTATGAGTATTTAGTGTAATTTGAGAAATGGCATAATGATTGGTTTCTAGGTTTTTGATAAATTAAATTTGACAAAAGTACGTATATTACTTTATCTATTGAATCATTAAAGTAAGTTTTTGTGCAAATTACTTGAGGACAAGCAATGATTCAAGTGTGGGGGAATTTGATAAGTGAATATTTAACGTGTATTTTGTACAATTTTGGCATGAACTTTTGGTATGTTTTGACAAGATTAAAGCCATTTTTGAACTCTATTGGTGATAATTAGTTAAATATTGTTTAAGTGTTCAAAACTTGATAAATGAGTGGATTAATACGTTAATTTTGTGA